ATCGATCTCCCTACCGTTCGATGCCAAGATTCATACGCCGCGTCGACTGCAATTCGACCTACAGCTATCACTATCTACCAGTTCTCCGTGTCGATAAGTATCACGATCTACAGATAGAGGACACGATCTACAGATAGAGGACACGATCTATATAACTACAGATAGAGGGCACGATCTACAAATCGATCAATTGATCTATGGATCGATCGATTGGCTTACAGAGCCTGCCCCCTCTCGGAGGACCACTTCCTGGCGGGGGAGTGGGCGGCAGGCGCCGGGAAGGAGAGGATACCGGAGACCTCCGAAAGGCATGAAGATCAACCGCCTATCCTTGTTCGCCATCCTTCCTTCGTCTAGCTTACCAGCCTCGAACGTATCCCTATCCCTAAGACTGACACGCCAAAAGGCGATGACAATCTTCGGGATGGATTCGCCCTCAAAAAATAAGGGAATCCCTGAGATCGGCATCGTGATGAGGAGGTGCCCAGCATAGGGATAAGGATATGTTCCAGGCTGGTAACTAGCTGCATGCCGGTGGGAAGAAGTCAGCAGACACATGAAGTAGGAAGGCGCTTAGAGGAGGTTGGGCTTCGGCCAACCAGTTCGCGATGCGCTCGGACCCTTACTTCAGTAAATCTTCAGGTAGGAAGGCGCTCAAAGCAGATTGTGGTCTGAAGTTCCAAGGGTACTGCCTTCATCGACCGACGGGTAATCCCTCTCCTCTCCTTGGGTTGCTATCAATGTTCTTGGCCAAAATGTTCCTGGCTTTTCGCGTCATGTTGGAGCATCTGGGGCCTTCTGCGTATCGCGAGGGCTAACGTGGAGGAGGTGGTGGACTCCCTGAAAAACCTGAGGGGCGCCTTGGACCAGGCAGGGACACACTTAGCAACACCTCCCCCCTCGCAGGCCCCCTCCCACCGAAGTATTCGATGTGGCGAGGGGCGCCACTGGCGCCCTTGGAGCTCTTGAGGCTGCCCATGAGGTCCTCCGACGGCCAGAGGTAGTCCTGGGGCAATCTGCGCGAATCAAAAACCCTTTGCTACTTTTGCTGTGCTCTACATGATGCCCCATCCTAGTCCTCCTCCTCCGTCTCATCCTGTCCCGCTTCCTCCTCCTCTTTGTATTCGTCATCAGCGTCGTCGTCCTTCTTCCCATAATCGATATCCCGCTCATTATCATCAACCCCATCACCACCATCAACATCATCAACATCATCATCGTCATCATCATCACCATATCACCATCACCATCACCGTCACCAACACCCTCATCATCATCTTCATCCTCATCATCATCACGACCACCACCATCACCATCAGCATCATCATCATCCTCATCATCATTAGCATCGTCATCATCACCACCATCATCAGTATCATCATCATGACCACCGCAACCACCACCCCCGTCATCATCATCGACCTCTCTCCTCCTCAAACTCACCGTCCTCCTCCACGCTCATATCGTTGCCGACCCGACAAATAGGAATTGCTAGATTCGAAGAAGAACTCCCGTTTCCCCAACCTGTATACCGCGTTCGCCAGACCTCACAGGATCCCCGGAAACCCCAAATGCCCGGCCTCACGTCCTTGACAAATGACGACAAAACATCGCGGTCGCCAGAACCCACAAGATTCCAAAGTCCCTGAGTGTCCCGCCTCGCGTCCTTGACGAATGACGACACCCTAGATACCAGCAAGCCCTGACGGGGAGGCGTCACGGCGTCACGCCGTCCAGGCGTCACCTCGCATGTGCAAAGAGGCTTGCAGAATCTTCGCTAATGACATACAACGAAGACGGGCGCATGCATCATAACAGGCACTACGACATGACGTAGCATGTTGGCCAGATCAGATTAACGAAACATAGCACAAACAAACATACCATGCATATCAAAACCTAACATACCAAATCAAAACATGTAAACAAATCGTGGTGTGCCGTAACAGGCCATAACAGGGTATAACATAAACGGCGAACATATAACATAAGTGCCCAACGTCTACTACCACAACAACAGCGGACATACCATAGTATACAACAATCTAAAGTACAATCTAGAGAACACAACATAACGCAACACCGCACGACACAACATGACATAACAATTAATGTAAACACACGTCCTAACATAACACATCACAACCCCATCACATACCCGGACCAGCCATAACATAACTCATACTGTGACAGAACGTGACATGCCAGAGCTTCTACATATCAAAACGTAACATAAGAGCATTGTTCTACGACTGTCTACACTAAGACAAAGCAAACAATATCACATACACGAATCTACCATAAGTGAAGGGAGATGTCCTAAAACGGCAGAGAATAACATGATATAATGATCAGGGCATAGCAGACCACCCCATTACATAACACAACGAATAATCACATTACATGTCATTCCAGAAACGAGCGTAGCAGAACACAGCATCACAACACCGCGTACATCACAGCAGAACGAGTCATACTGTGATAGAGAGAGGCATGGTAGAGTGTAAGAAAGCAGACCATAACAGGTTATAGCAAGAACGTTACATTATTGCGACCCCTACTGCACCGACTTCGAAATGGCACACTGGGATACAGCACAAATGCATACTGACATTTTGAAATCGCATCGCTTACCATAACATGATGCAGTAAAACAGGACTCACACATTAACACAGAAGACCAGATCAGACAGTAGTATACACACATACGATGTAATAGTTCTGAGAACACTGAGACCTAACCTCCAGCTGACAATGAAGTTACAAAGCAAATCACACCAACAAGCTAAACAAACATACGACAACTTACATATAGCACTACAACATCACATAATCGTGAATCAGAGCGCAACGAAGAACATGACGGCAGAACAAAAACACAAGAATCTGAATACAATGCCAGGATGATCCAGCAGCCAATGAGTGTGAAACGTGAGTGCGATTTCAGAATATAGCGAAATCTGTTGTTCAACATAGATTAGAAAGGGATCCAATCGAACACGAACACAACACAACACAATACTACATATACTACTCAACACGATGACATACTCTGGCCTTGTAGTACAACCTATAACAGGTCTGTGACCAGCAACACCCAGCAGGACAGAGTGCAAAACATGGCGATATCAAACTACAGCAGAAGACAACGTGATATAATATACTCAAAGTCTAAAACCGAGCAATGCTGAATATACGAGAGAAGAACACTGCAGCGACGATTCGCGGCGTCCTCTCAAACCAGATGTGCGCGCCAAGGTCAGGCTGGCCACAGGAACAGCGAGGCGCAAAAAAACGACCGAACGGATATGAAACGTGCGAGGCGCCACGACGCAATGCCGGCCCGTCCACAATATAACAGGGCGGAATATATCAAAACTTAATAGAATAGAACTAAAAAACATAATTGATGACTGTACAAGGACAGCAACGCCCGATTGCCGGCGCCTTCTCAGTCGCAACATGCGTCCCGACGTGAGGCTAGCCACAGGTACACCTCCTATAGCAGGTACGCACAAAACGGGACCGAACAGAACGTCGCCGAGTTATGAGAATACAGCAGAGACCGAGTAACGGCATCCTATCACGAGCGACATGCGCGCCGAGCTCAGGCTGGCCACAATAACAAACATAATCAGACTCGGGAACAAACGCGGAAGATGTTTGTGGAGATCGCTCGAAGCAAAATGGTTTGTTCTCCATTATTCTCCTGCTCATCATTACCATCATCCTCCCCAGCCCCCCCTCCATTGCAAATATAATGACGCATTCCGTAAAGAAACAGAGGCTGTTCTGGCCCAGGGCCCCACGATCCTTTGATACCCTGCCGAACGCCTCAAGCGCTGCCGCCACCCCTTGAAACAAAGAGGCCTCACACTCACAGCTCGCGTGACACGCCTCCTAGCATTTCGATTGCGCCTGGATGCATGCGCTCCACAGAGGGACAGGTGTCTCCTGATCCTCGGAGCGCTGGCCTCGAGAACAGCCTGTGGTGGCGTTTCCCGACCAGCATCTCGCCCCAGATCAGCAATAACAGCCACGATAGCAATTATCTGGTCGGGCGAAAGGGGGGGATAGCAAAGGGTTTGTTTTGAGAATCAGCTCACGTAGCTGATTTCTCCGGCGCCTCCCGGCGCCCATGTATCGAGGAATGGGCCCCTCGGTGGGGCCGAAAACAGCTGCATGCAGCAGGTTTCGTGACCCCCCCGTTTCCCTATCTACCCCCCCCTTTCGCTCGGCCGAAAACCAGTAATCAGAATGGCCGATCTCTGGCCATCGCTCGGACGTCCATTCTCTGTTTTTTTAGGTTCCGTGCGTGGTTTTTTCGCCAAATGATGAAGGATGCTCCTCGATGGTCCTCGCCGAAGGGAAAATGCACACGTCCGAGCGATGCCAAGATCCTACCTGCCCGAGTGTGGGTCTGCGGGTCGTCCCCGGCCCTCGGTACTCGCCCGCCTAAGTACTCTTCGCCGCGCCCCCTTCTCAAGGGGCGGGGGGGCTCTCTTCCTGCCAGGCGCGGCTCGTGGGCGAACGAGGCGGCCTGCCTTCCCGCTCCTCATCCACCCTCCTCCTCCTCCTCCTCCTCCTCCTCCTCCTCCTCCACCATGCTCCTCCACCCTCCTCCTCCTCCTTCTCCTCCTCCTCCCTCCTCCTCCTCCTCCTCCTCCTCCTCCTCCTCCTCCTCCTCCCCCTCCCCCCCCTCCTCCTTCTCCTCCTCCTCCTTCTCCTCCTCCTCCTCCTCCTCCTCCTCCCTCCACCTCCCCCACCAGGCTCCTCCACCCCTCTCCGTATCCTATGTCATGAGTGTGTCTTAATGCGACTCTCCAACACTGGACCCACTTTCCCTGCCGTCGAGTCTGTATCACGTACTGTCATTGTCAGCGCACGTTCTTCGAAAAGGGGGGAGAAAGCTGGGGCGCAGACACGGTTTGGAGTTGCTTCATCCTTCTCCGTGACTGCCCCCGTTCTCGTGCTAGAACAGAGCCACTCCCAGTCACCGAAACGCACAAGCTCCAGGAATCGAAGGGCCAGTCAGATCACGGCGTCAGCGTCACTGACAACATGGGCTCGATACCACGCAGCATCTGAAAGTGCAAAAGACTTCTGCGCTGCAATGTCATCCTCCCAATGCGCGGCGCGCGGCTGTTTCAGACGAGTTCGCTCCGTAGGGTAGTGCGAGAAGACCAGCATGTTCCTGGCCGAGCTGGCCTGGTTGCAAGAGGTGAGCGATGGGGGGGGGTAAGCGGAAGTGTAAGCTTGCGCCTGGTGCTTGCAAGGACGATGGCGAAAATACGAATGGAAGAGGAATGAGGAGGAACATGAGGACATGCAGCGTACTTAAAAACGCATGAGGAAGCATATGCTAACGCAGCCGATGTCAGTACACAAGCCATGCAGGCTTGCTATGTCTCTCTCTCTCTCTCTGTTGCTCTCTCTCTCTCTCGCTTCCTCTCTCTCTCTCTCTCTCCCTTTCTCCCGCTCTACCTCTCTCTTCTCCCTCCCTCCCTCTTTCTCGCTTTGATTCTCTCTCTCTCTCTCTCTCGATCTGTACATGTATATATATGTATATATGTGTGTGTGGATGCATTGCTTATAAGTGTGCATCTGTGTACACACTAGAAACATCTCTCAAGCGCGCGCTTCACACGCGAGCGCTCAACTTGCTGCGCAAGCGCGGAGGCCGTCAGAACAGCTTGCGCGGCTGTTTTGTCTCTCTTGAAATCTTTTGGGGAACCTCGCCTGTAGCGTTGGCTCGTGGTGTGTGTGTGTGTGTGTGTGTGCCTTCTGGCGGCTCGGCTGTGGAAGCTGCGACAGGACTCTCAAGAGGCCGATCTGGCCTGATGCCGGCCAGTTGTTTCAGGCTGTCTTCCTCCGTCGAGGGCAAGGAGCCCCAGTAGAGGTGGTTGGACGGGCTCGAAGTGCACAAGTGTACACTAAGCCGTCTGGTCGGCCAGCAAGCTCGGTGTATAGACTCCCCAGCTCTCCAGCCTGTGGGATGCTGGAGCATCGGTGCACCGAACTCCTTCGCTCCTCGACGAAATGGTGTATGTCGAAGAACAAAAAAGATTGCATAACCGTGAACTTTCTGATTTCCGCGCTGATCTCTTGGATGCCTCTGGAACTGACTACCTACCAGACCACCCCAACCCAACCCGAAGACCCGAATTTCGGGTTGGGGGGGGTAAGGGTTCCACATGAGTTTTTTCGATGTTTCCCGACCCCCCCCCCACTGGAAATCGAGGGTAAATTTGGGCCTTCGGGTTGGGTTGGGGTGGTTTGGTGGGTGGTGAGGAACACCCTCCCTGGCGCGCGGAGCACGCCAGGGGCGGCGCCGGAGGCGCCGCCAGGGGGCTTCAGCGCCGATGCAAGAGGAATCCGCGGGGACCTCCCAAAGTTTCGTCCTTCGAGTCGCGCATGGGCACCGAGCCTCCTGCGATCGGCCGAGGAATGCCGGACGCCCGCGTGCCCACGGCCAGAGCGCCCAGCGGCAGTGACGAGCCCGCGCCAGGGGGGGTGGGCCGAGGAGCCCGTGCCCTCGCCCGAGTCTGGGTTACTGGCCGCCTCCTGCGCCACCGATCGCGGAGGGGGAGGAGGAGGAGGGGGAGGAGGAGGAGGAGGAGGAGGAGGAGGAGGAGGGAGGAGGAGGAGGAGGGAGGAGGAGGAAGGAGGAGGAGGAGAAGGAGAGGAGGAGGAGGAGGAGGAGGGGCCGACGACGACGAGGTGGAGGAGAAGGAGGAGACGACGACGAGGTGGAGGAGGAGGAGGAGGAGGTGGAGGAGGACTTCTCCTCCCTCCTCCTCGAGCTCGAGCTGCGGACCGTTCTGTTCAAGCTGAACTGGGGCCCTTAGCCCCGCCCCACCTTTGCCCAGCAGTAGAGCGTTGCTGGTGGGGGGGGGGGCGGGGGGCGGGGGGTGTAAAAGGGGGCAGCGCCAACATTCTAAAGGGGGGGCGGCCCCAGAGCAGAGGAAGACCGACAGACTCCCTCCTCCTCCTCCTCCTCCGCCTCCGCCTCCGCCTCCTCTTTCCCCAATGTGTGCTTCGATGCGGATCGTCTGTGCGCCTCGTCTCCGTCGTCGTCGTCGGCGGCGTCGTCGTTGTCGTGGTGCGTGTTGCTCTGCTCGGGACTTGTTTCCCCTGTGCAGTGGCCACAACAGTCCTCCTCCTCCTCCTCCTCCTCCTCATCCTCCTCCTCTCCTACTCGCGCTGCGCGTATTCGATGTCACTCTTGCTACTCAGAGTGAAAGGGGGCAGAACGGTCTTCTATTATGCCTGAGCGTGTGCCTGAAACGGGTTTCCGCGGCAAGGACTCTTGTTGCTTGTTGTTCGTCATTGTTATGGTCCTCACCCGCGGCCCGCCCGCGACCCACCCGCGACCACCCCGCGATCCGCCCGCGACCCACCCACGACCCACCCACACTGCTTCGACGACAATTCGACGCCTGCGGCAGATTAGCTGTGCAACGTGTAATAAAAAGCGCCTGCAGCGAGCTTCTTCAGCATCTCGCAGACTGCCGACGAACCAGCCGCCCCCCCCCCGTCTTATCCGCAAATGCAGGGGCTATGGTCATACTCTCTCTCTTTCTATATATCTCAAGTCTTTGTTCCCCCACTGCCTTCTTTCCCTGCCTGCCCCCTCCCAGCCCATCGAATCAACCACAGAGCTGGGAGCGGAAGAGCAGTACAAAGGACCAATCAATCGCGGCCTGTGACCGAGCCTTGAAGAGCTGGATCGCCTCAAAAGAATGCGGCACAGAAACATGCAAAACTGATCACTTGGCATCATCCCCACTTCTCCTCTTTCCCCTTCTCCTCCCTCTTCCTCCCCTTCAACTTCCTCCTCCTGCTCCCCCTGACCGCCTCCACCGCCCCAGCTTACTCGTCAGTGCTCCCTTTCGCCCTTTCTGCAGGACGCGACAGACGCTCTGCATAGGACCCTGAACCTTTGCGGACTTGCGGCGAAGTGGACCCAACAAGCGGTCGGCTAGCGGCGGGACGCGTCCGCAACTCACTACGACGGAGGCAACGGATGGGCAAGACGGGAGGAGGAGGCGACCGCGGCACGGCCAGAGAGCTCCCGTGCCATGCATCTCTCCAAGCGGCACCCCGGAGGTCGGGCTCGTGGTCTCGACCACGGCGTCGCAGAAGAGCGAAGGACACGCCCGAAGGCAGAGGCCCACGGCGACAGCGCCGGAGCCAAGATAGAGAGCACGAGTCGTGCGAGGTGGTCAGCACCGGTGACGGCACATGAGGCCTGTGCAGCATGCGGCCTCAATCAACTGCCGCACAGCCGGCCCATCCAGAGCAGGGCTCAAGAGCACATGTGTTTTCTTCGCGGCAAGAACGGGCGTCATGAGGGGGGAGGGGGGGCGGGGGAGGGGGGGGGCACAACGTAACGCCCCCCACCCTCACACCCTGTAGTGCCTGACGCACTGCGGCAGTCCTGGGGACGCACTGACGGGAGGGAGCGCTACGTCATGGGGTGGGGAGGGGGGGGGAGCGGAGGGGGCATAACGCCCGTTATGGCCCAGAGGGTAAACAAAAATTATCCCAGCAAAGCAACCTAACAGCGATGTGTAGAAGCATATCTGAAAGCATTCCCCTTAAGATTCAGATGAAAATCCAGTTGTAGAATTCTGCTGTTCTCGCAGTCGTAGTCGCATTCGCGATGACAGTCGCAGCGGCAACGGCAGTCGCAGTCACAGCCTCAACCTCAGCCTGCCTCAGCCTCAGCCTCAGCCTGCCTCAGCCTCAGCCTGCCTCAGCCTCAGCCTCAGCCTGCTTCAGCCTCAGCCTCAGTCTGCCTTCAGCCTCGGCCTCAGCCTCAGCCTGCCTCAGCCTCAGCCTGCATCAGCCTCAGCCTCAGCCTCAGCCTGCCTCAGCATCAGCCTGCCTCAGCCTCAGCCTCAGCCTGCCTCAGCCTCAGCCTCAGTCTGCTTCAGCCTCAGCCTCAGTCTGCCTTCAGCCTCGGCCTCAGCCTCAGCCTGCCTCAGCCTCAGCCTGCCTCGGCCGCAGCATCAGCCTGCCTCAGCATTCAAAATGTGGCCCAGGAATGGAGTTCTGGGAACTAGAAGAACACGAAGTGGCCTACAGTTGGCTCCGGGCATTCAAAATCATGCCCAGGAATGGAGTTCTGGGAACTCGAAGAGCACGAAGTGGCCTACAGTTGGCTCCGGGCATCCAAAATGTGGCCCGGGAATGGAGTTCTGGGAACTCGAAGAGCACGAAGTGGCCTACAGTTGGCTCCGGGCATCCAAAATGTGGCCCGGGAATGGAGTTCTGGGAAGTCGAAGAGCACGAAGTGGCCTACAGTTGGCTCCGGGCATTCAGAATGTGGCCCGGGAATGGAGTTCTGGGAGGTCGAAGAGCACGAAGTGTGTGACTGTTTGCGAAAAACGAGTGCGGCGGCAGCCGCGGCGGCAGCCGATCCGGGTCCCGCCCCGACCCCCATGTGGAGTCATGATGCTCTCTTTTGAGACCACTAGAAACCTATCAGCAAAAGCTGTTAGGTAAAAATCCAAGCTAGAGGCCTCCTAGACGGGGTCGGAGGATCGCGCCGCATCGCCGATACGTCGGCGATGCGTCGCCGACGTGGTCGATGAATCGGCGCCGTCGACGTGGAGCTAATCGGGCTCCACATCGAGCCGCATCGGCGGTGCATCGGCGACGCGGCGCGACCCTCCGAACCCATCTGCTCCGACCCCACCTGGGAGGCCGAGGAGGGAGGGAGGGAGGGAGGGAGGGAGGGAGTGAGGGAGGGGAAGAGGAGGAGGAGGAGGAGGAGGAGGAGGAGGAGGAGGAGGAGGAGGAAGAGGAGGCACAGGAGGGGGGCCCTCAGCGCGTGCCCACCTGGGAGCCCCCGGCGGGGCAGCAGCGGGCCCCCGGGCCCGCGCCCGAAGCGCTCCGCGGGGCGCCGCCGCGAGCGACGCCCCCTCGGGGGGGGCGTCAGTGGGGGGCCGCAGGCCGTGGGCGGCGGGGTACGCCCCGTGAGGTCCTTCAGCTCAGCGACCTGGCCCCGGAGCGTCTCCATGGCGACTGGGGAGGCGAGGCGTACTGAGCGGATGGACTTCGATAATCATGCCAGGGCACCGGAATCCATCAGTGCAGTAATCCACGCCCTCCCCAGTCGCCATGGAGACGCTCGAGGGCCAGGTCGCTGAGCTGGAGGATCTCGGGGTGCGTACTGGGGCCGAGCCGGACCCCCCCTCCCCACAGAGCCCCACGAGCGGGCCGCGCGATAGCGGCCACCGTCCCCATGCTACGCGTTCGATCATTGAGTATGGTTTATCCGATCCCCATCCCGCGCGGCGTGGCCTGGGCCCCCCTGGCCGATTTACCCCCCCAGATGGGGATATGGGTCTTTCCCTTCGGGTTTCGAGGCGTGCATCGCCAACTGGGGTGGTAATTTGGTGGGGGTCTCGAAGGGGATGGGGATAGAGATGGGGATCGGATAAACGATACTGAATCATGGACTTCGGCGGTCTTCGGCGGTCTGGACGGCAGCCCGACACGATCTTCGGCGGACCTCCGTGTGAAAGGCGGATATCTCGCGTTAAGAAGGGGTCCATGATCGAACACGTAGCCCATGGGCAACTGACGCAGAGAAGAAGAGGGCAGGAGGGAGGGGGGGACAAGCTAGGTCCGCCCGCGCCTTCAAGTCGGCCCGTATCACAAGTACGCACGAGAAGGATGCAAGGGCCTTGGAATGCAGGGGATCCCCTGGGAAGTCTGCCCATCCTGACCCTGCGGGTGGGCTGCAAAGGCCACCGCCCCCATGGGCAACTGTCGCAGAGGAGAAGAGGGGAGGAGGGAGAGGAAGAGGAGGAGGAGGAGGAGGAGGAGGAGGAGGAGGAGGAGGAGGAGGAGGGGAAAGGACAAGCCAGGTCCGCTCGCGCCCCATCTGACGTCCGACCCTCCCATCCTTCCCGTCCCAGCGCGCCGCCTCGCTTCTCTAACCAGGGCCACGGAGCGGGCCACGCGGGAACGGCCTCAGGCCCCCTCGGCGACTGACGCAGAGAAGAAGCGAGGATGGAGAAGGTTAGAACACAACTCACGGAAATTGTTGGTCGTCCCCATGGCTCCCAGTAGCGCGCACAAGATCACGCAAGGCGGACGCGATGCGCCTCCCTCGCATGGCGCCGTTGAGCGCTGTTGGTCGCCGTTGAAAGCTATTTGAGCGCTCTTCGGCGCTACTGGGCCCTAAGGGGCGCTTCCGCCGATATTCAAGCCAAGACGAGCGGACGCTTATGCGACTTACTATCTAAAGAGGGGGGAACAGCGGACGGAGAGAGCAGCGACGAAAAGGGACAAGAGGCGTGCCGAATACAGACTTGCACGTGGAAGTATCTAGAATCACGTTTGGTGGCGGTGATTGCATTGCTCAACGATGCTGATCGGCGTTGTGTGCCGACACCATCGGCTGTATGTTCGCCTGCCCGATGCCGCCAGAACGACCTTCAAGGCACAACACTCGGAAAGGCGAATGCGAACATAGCAAGTGCGCCCGGCCAAGCATCACCTGAGGAGGCTAGAAGCGCCACAAAAGCCAGCATGGCATGATGGCGAGGCCCTCACCCAAAACTACAGCGAGAAGGACCACAAAAGGGAGCCTCGGCAGTACGCTTCTTGAGGTTCCCAACGCATGTATCCTCCGCAAGAACGGTGCTGGATGCGATGGTAGGGTAAAACGTGCGACGCATGCAGGAACAGACGCGTAATCGGAGGCAGAGGCGGAGCCCGAGATGGACAGAGACAAGCAACGCTGACTGAGAAGAAGAGGTGGATGAAAAACGAGCAAGAGAGAGAGAGAGATGTGAATAAATGTATATAGGCACTCATGCATGTATGTATATGATCCAGGGCTCTGCACCCCCCCCAACGCTAATGGGATCGCGCTCCCCGCCCCGCTGGATGGGTACGCCCGTGAGCCTCGCGAAGGCCTCGCGAATGGGATCACCCCCCCAGACCCTCCTCCCCATGGTCGTGGCCCTGTGGGCGTGGCGTGGTGGTAGGTGCCGGTGCCCCCCAACTTACACAGTCTGTGGGTGTGGAGGGAGTGGTTCGTTGTCGTCGTCGTCGTCGTGGTCGTCGCCGTCGTCGCCGCCGCCGTCGTCGTCGCCGACTTCGGTCATCGTCGTGTTCGATCGTTCTCCGTTGTCGTCGTCGTCGTCGTCGCCGTCGTCATCGTCGTCGTCGTCGTCGTCGCCGTCGTCATCGTCGTCGTCGTCGTCGTCGCCTCCCCCCATCCTATATGGGGGGGGGCTTGTGGAACCCTGGGGCTCATCGCATCTGGTTGGGGCTTTGAACCCTCGACCTGGGATGTTACATGTCCATGAATCAACACACATATGTACACATGAATACCATATGTATAAAGGGAGAGAACGCGATATATATATATATATACATATATAAAGAGAGAGGGAAGAGAGAGAGAGAGAGAGAACGAGAGAGACATAACGAAAAGCAGATCCGCCGACACCCATTGCAAGGAGGAATGGGGTTTGCGGAAAGTGCTGCCGCAGCTGACCAGCGTACGTATCACCAATAGATGCGAACAGGCGGCTATAATGGAACACGCAAAGGAACTTTCGACAAAAACAAGGACGTTCCGGGTGCTGGCCTTCATAAGAGCAGAACGCATCATGGGGATATCTGCCGCTCGTGTCAGAGCCTGCGCTTCTGAAACGTTATCACGCAAAACGTTTCAGGAGGACACCGCCGCCAAAGCCAAACA